GTTTCCAAATCTGACAGGTTAACAGAAAAACTTAGGGGAGAGCTTGTTAAAAATACAAATTTTTCCAGATATTCTGATTTAATGGGAATGAATTGAGACCCAAGTATGTGTATTTTTTAAACTCTCTGGTTGATTTTGGTTTGGGAATGACTCTGCTAAAAGGTTGAGGCTACTTTACCAGTTTTAGGCATGATTTAGGCAAACCTCATCCATTTTTAGTGTCTTCATTAGTAGATGGGGAGGGATTATAAACAGAAGAGTTTCAAATATTGACTCTTAGACATCCCTTCAGCAGTAGAAGGGAAAGTATGTACCAGAAGAGTGATCACTCAGAAATGTACTGTTGCCCTGAACAGACTCAGAATAAGTTCAACTTCTCTACTATTTTCGTCTTAGAAAGAACAGTGTGTATATATATGTATATTTATACATCTCATTTATATATATATATATATATATATATATATAAGTCCGTTGCCAGCAAGTCGATTCCGACTCATAGTGACACTTGAGACAGAGTAGAACTGCCCCATAGGGTTTCCAAGGAGCAGCTGGTGGATTCTAACTGGCGACCTTTTTGGTTAGCAGACATACCCTTTCAATGGTGTCTCAGAGAGACATCAGCCAAACAAGGCAGATTTAGCATTCCTGGTATGTACAGCAGCTACGTAAGTACTTGAGTATCTCTAGTCAGATCCTGGGATTCCTATCTTCTTTGAGTTATGGATGTCTTTGAAAATCCTACCAAGAAACCAGACAGAATATTTTGCAGTTTCAGGGGGTTCACGTATCCCAGGTTAAGAATTGTCAGCCTTGCAGAAAGAAGCTAGTGGTGGGGGTTTATTTCCATTCCACCTAATGAGTTTTGGTCAATTGCAAAAATACTCCTGTTGAAATGACTGATTGTTACACTTCACAGATCAGAATCTGTCCTCTTTTACATCTGTAAGTATCCCCTTGTATCAAGGTTATTATTTATGTTAGTAATGCTAAAACATCTACCCTGTATCAAACATTTACAATACGCTTACTTACAACATTTTCATCCTTAAAGTCAGCATACAAGAAGGCATTTACATTACTTTCCTAGAGTCACAGTTTTTGGGTCACAAGCCCAAACTGACTTTAAAGTCAACATCATATCACTATCTCCTCCATTACTTTCCCAGTCTGGAATGGAAAATTCACTCTTCAGTTACAACAAGCAATTTGGTAAAGTGTTCTTACAGGAAGAAGAGGCATCAAGTAATTATCTATATCTAACAACATCCAACATTAATTCTGAAATTCTGACTACCTATCCTCACAAAACTCAAAGGAAATTCACTATCTCAATTATAGACTCAACGTGGTCAACTCAAGCATTCAGAAGATAATTCCTAACCATTGCACTAGTTCATGATCTCCTTGGAAGCTGAAACCATATGTGACTTACTACTCTCATACATGGCACACCAAGAACATGGGAAGATAGATGCTAAGTGTCAAATGCAAGAATCTGTTTGCTCCTCTCAGTTCTCAATGGCTTCTTGAAGAACAACATAGCATCCCACAAAGGAAAACCACAAGAGAATACTCTCCTAACAACTTTTACAGGCCTGCTTCATTTGGTTCCTACTACATATCACACACCTAGCTTTGCTATAACATTTTTAATTGTAGCCATTTATCCTTTACAAATGCATGCTACTGAACTAACTTTATTACAAAGTTTAAAATGCTGTAATTCAAAACTAAGTTATTTTCAATCCAATCTGGACACTTCTGTGTAAGGGCTACACATCAGAAGGCAGATTTGGTCATTGGTTAGCTGTGGCGATTGTCTTAGGTCCTTAAAGATGCTTTTCTTAGAGTCTAGTGCTATGCTAATACAGTAGCCATTAGCCATATAGAATTTAAAATGTGGCTAGTTTGAATTAAAATGTGCTCTAAGAACTTGAAGACAGTGTAGAAAAAGAATGTGAACTATCTCAATCATTTTTATAGTGATTATATATTGAAATGACAATAGTTTAGACATATTGGATTAAATAAGATATATTATTAAAATTAATTTCACCCATTTTTTACTTTTTTAACATGGCTATTAGAAGCTTTAAAATTACATACTGACTTGCATTACATTTTTATTGGACAGCACTAGTGTAGGAAATTTAAAATAACAGCTGTTGGCACAAGAAACCATTGGTGGGGAGTATTTTGAAGAAGTAATTACAATTTTTCTATTTTTGGTAAATTGTCAATTCTATAGAATAATTATTTTCAAAATATTTGGTTCTCAGTTTATCAGCATGGGGATCATAAATTAGCAATTTTTAAAAATTCTCTTCTGACTTCTAAAACCAAAACAAACCAACAACAAAAATATCCATTTCCATTAAGTCAGTTCCTACTCACAGTGACCCTGTAAGACAGAGTAGAAACTCCCAGTACAGTTTCCAAGGAGCGGTGGGTAGATTCCAACTGCTCACCTTTTGGTTAGCAGCCGAGCTCTTAACCACTGTGCCACCAAGGTGCCAGGGTTCGGTAGGATCTTTTAAAAATACCCTACACAGTCCAGAAAAGTTGTATCATAAACAAACCTATCTAGGACCAAAAAAAACAGTAGAGTTTGAGATGTTTTAGCATTTAGTTAGATATTTGAGCATTCATGTCCGGCCTGGAGACTAGAGAGACGTCTGTTATTACCACTCTGCTTCTTAGGCTCATAATGTGACTTTATTTTGTGGTTGTTTTATAAAACAAAGAATTTAACAATAGCAGTTATTGAAAAGCACAAACGAAATAAACTGACTGGGGTACTGGGAATGCTGTACCTTTCACACGCCCTCAATTTTTCCTAGGAGCAAATACACAAGATTTCTAGATTTTGTTAATACACATTTAATTTAGTTAAACCTAAAGCAGACCTTGCTTAATTAGGTTGTTCTTGGCAGATAATACATAAAATCAAATATTTAAGAACCATAGAATTAAAAAAATTCATGCCCTTAAAATGGAATTTTAGGTTAATGCAATTCTTACTAACGCCAAGGAAAACCTTTTAAGGAAACTTACACCCAAATGTAAGTTTAGTCACCTTGGAAGGTAGGTCCTAGTAAATAGATCAAATAAAAGTAAACCTATTCTGCTAATTTTCTTTCCTTTATACTCTGAATCTTTGCTAGTGTAATAAAATAAGCTTATTAGCATTGTGGTTCTTTTATTCTGAATGACATCAGCTATGCAGTAAGTGGGATGTTTAATGTTCACAGGGGTCCCAACTTAGCAAGTAAAAACTGCTACCCTTGATTCACCTTGAAAGCCCTTTGTTTGTTTAAATCAAAGACCCAAATAAACATCCCTATCACCTGATTGCTAAAGTGTCATGCCTGGAAACGAATGCGTATTTTGATGGCTGTAGAATGTACTTGCTTCTAACAGGTATCATTGCTTTCTTTATTAAAGCACTGAAGTCTCATGTTATTTTTGTCATCTGATATAATCTAACCCCTGATAAAATTGGTTATGCTGCCCCAGATATGCAAAACAATCTAATTTTCATTCCAACCAAATAAGAAGCAGTGTAGCTGAGAAATAAACTTGTCAGAACACACTGTAGATAATTTTAACAGGTATTTAAATACAACACAGATGCTAAAGGCTAATGGTTGGGGGTGGCAGAGTAACCATTTGTATTTAAATATTCTAAGTTTCTACTCTAGGACTACTTTTACAATAGGAGGGGTGGCACTAGAAACATCACTCTAGTAAGGAAATACTTAAAATGCTTTTCTTTGGACATGGACCAGGATACTTGAGTTTTCTTTAAAGAAATATTTAAAAGTACTATCAGTTCTTAAGTTTCTTTAAGAGTAGATGTAGTGCCACACAATAGAAAATCTAAATTATATTTGAATTTAAATTGTTTCCGCAGTCATCTAATTTGCATATTCATACATTTTTAATGACAAGCGATCAGGTGGAAGAAGCACTATTAGATAGCAAGGGTCAACCAATGTTTTTTAATTTGTCATAGATTGGTCTAAGGAATATATTCAGACACTAGTGTTCAAATTGAGCTCATCCAGACTATTTCATTTGTATAATTGTTTTCTGGCTGATGTCTGAACACTATTTTGTAAACAAGTCTTCAACTCAAATTTAAGAATGTGCCGGATTTCTTAACTTCTGAGTCGACTGATAGGTTATGATAAGCATCACATACACACACACACACAACTACCCTAATTCCTGAACAGCCTTGGTTCCATTATCAATCATTTCAGCTGAGGTTCTGTAGTGACAGTTTCAATCAAAATTACCAAGAAAAAAATGTATTCAATAACATTAACTAGAAAATAACCTCATCTTGCTGTTAATAACTTAAGCATAAAATGTGAAGTATGATTTAGCAAGATTAGTTAGCATGAGTGCTAATCAGTTGCAGACAAAATGGAGTCTTACACACTTATCCCACAAAATGGTGTAACTTACTTCTAAACCAAAAAAACCAAACCTGTTACTGACGAGTCAATTCTGACTCATAGTGACCCTAACGGACAGAGCAGAACTTACTTCTAGGACAAAAGAAATGTACGGGGCCGGGGGCGAGGGGGGACGGGGACAAAAATAAAGACGCCAGTGTTTTGTGTGTGTGTAAATAGCTACAAGTATTAAATGGCAATTTTCTATTTTGTTGTACATGTAGACTTTTTAGATTGTACAAACATGAGAAACTGCCTTGTCAAAATGTCATTAGTTTTCATTAACTGCCTGCTGCCTCTTCAATACAGTTGAATGCTACTTTATCTTACCGCTAATCAACTAGCAAGCGTATTTATCACTCTCCAAAATTTTCTATAAAAACTGCACTCAAAACAGTCAAATTAGGTCATTGTACATATTCAGACATTTGCATGATGTGAAGGAGATAAAATAATCCAAGTTATGGCAGTTACCTAAAATATGCTTATCTCTGGAGTGGAGGGTATCGAGTGAACCGGGACAGGATGAGAGAGGCTTTGCTTCTCAATGTATATCTATTTATAAACTCATTTTTCAACTATATGAATGTATTGCCAATCCAAAAAAAAAAAAAATCAGTTATAACAGTACTATGCTTATCATGTTGCTATGACATTACTTAGCAGACATTTGCCTGTTTTTACTTACTTGCTAGGAACTTCATTTAAAACAGACATCTGCAAAGAAAGCCTTACAGAAAAGAATGATTTGTCACTTTAAACTGGAAGTTAAAAAGTTACAGCACCTGTACCTTTTCGCAGTAAAATTTAACCATTTAATCTCATTCTCAACTTTCTTTCCAAGTCCTGGAAATCATTACAAGATATTAAAATTAATAGTGAATACTTACTATATGTCAGGCACTGTTTTTAAAATACTTTATTCTCACAACTCTGAAGTAGGTACTGTTATTTACAGATAATAGCCTGGTTCCAGAGTCCATACTTGTCAAGTAAGTTTTCTTTGAAAATTAATCCTCACAATGGGAAGCCCATTGCAGATCAAACCTGAAGCTCTAGTTTTACAGACCAGGCCCACCGAGAATTAAATCAGGTTAAAGGACTAGCCCAAGGTCATATAGCTAGTTCACATCATCACAGCCTGTCATAGCGTTAACATTCTTAAAATACTTAGTATTTCTTAATGAACATTCCAAAGTCAATAGTCTGGACTGAGAGAAATATTCAGGTTTCCAAGAGTCTAGGTAGAATACAATTTTCCTAGTTTCCTTACACTTTTATTACCCTTCTCATCAACCTATTGATGCTCTTGACAAATTAAACCCTTAAATCCAAAATCTGTTTTTCACTGCATGTCACTCTGGTTTCAAAACCTTAAGATTTAAAATTTATCAAGCAAAGTTTTGCTGACAGAGGTGGGGGTAATACATCTCACTTTAAACTTGAATATAAATTTTCCTTCTAAATGCCATCATTTTCAACATGTCACTCCTCAATACCTTTCATATCCAGGGAGATAGTCTCATCTCAGCACATGGATTTCTACATATATGAATTTTCCCCACTTGAACCAACAGAAGAAATAGCAGGCAAAGTATTGTGACATATTTAAGCAAACCACTGAGTAATATTTCTATCCCAGACTCCGTTACAGGCAGTCCCCAGGTTACAAACATCCAGCTTCCACAGAACATTGCAGTTAGGAACCAAGCCCCGTAAAGCCTATCAAAAATTCAAGATACAAACCATGGTCCCTAACAACAGAATGGGTGCTACTTTACAATGCACATCAAAACATTGTTACTGTATTATTATATTTTAGTGTATCTGAAGTTTAATTTTTTTAAGCATAAAAAGGTACATTATGTACTACACACTAAGACATTTGACTGATGTTAAATACAAACCATACCTAACTGTCCCAACTTACATACAAATTCAAATTAAAGACAGATTTAGGAATGGAAAGCGGTCATAACCTGGGGGCTGCCTGTATTGAAAAGCAATGGTTCTGCTCTCAATTTGAGCTATCCCACTGGCAAAGTCAGCATGTTAACTATTCCTTGTTGTTATCTGGTGTCACACCTGCAGAACTGACCCTTTGGGTCCACTTTACATTAGGACCAAACCCAAAACAAAAACCATGCCTATTTTTGTATACAAAGTCATGCCTACTCTTCTCTTCAAATTTATAAGTTTATCCTAAGTTATCTATAAAGCAAAAAAAAAAAAAGGAAAAGGAAGATAGGTCACAATTGTTCTAATTTCCTTCTCCCCTTAAGCTGTAAGATTGTTTTGATCCTGAAGGTACCTATTCATTTCTTCAAAGATAAACTGACTGCCTATCATGTATCATACTTGAAAATGTTTCACAAAACTCATCTCATGGTTCTTGAGTAAGTGAAGTTCAGGGATGGCAATGAAAAAATAATTACAATATAATCATGCAAAATCTATGTATGCAACTGAAAGGTTGTATATGAAACATTTTCTAATATTCTCCCTTTAGGATTCTAGCTGTGGCTTAAAAACCCAATGAACAAGTGAGTGTTTCCCTCTGTACATGGCTTTTATTATTTACATAATACAATATAGCATTGATGCTGAATAGCATGATTATGTGCAATACATAAATATGAGCTATCTGTACACATCTGCAGATCTAACTCAGAACTAAGGTACATAAAATTGAAAGCAAAACTGAATGTTTTAAGAATAAAAGTAAAAACTAGGACCAAACACTGCAATAAATCAGTAGTGCCTCGTGTACATACTTAACTATTTACAGATGAAAACAGGCATTACCACAACACTAATCTAACTGTACTCATTTATATATAAAAAACACAAGTTTCATACATCACAAAAAACCTTCCATTATAACACAGAAGTGGTATTACCAGACAAGCATCAGTGAAGTATACTGCCTCTTCTAGTTGTTATTGTACAATGCTGTAGATAATGCAGCCCATGCAATACACCCAAGAACACTAGAGTCCTACACCCAAGTACAATTAATATGATAAAGCAGCCCTCTGCAAGTGGTGCTGGTTACCACTAAGAAGTCTACTGCAGCCATGTTGGTTATGGTTTTCCATGCAGAAGGGTACAGTTACATTGAGAACTGAAGTCTTTAAAAAGCTTTAAACATTCTTTCTTGAACCAAAACATTCAACAAACGATGCACAGGAAAAATGAACTGTTAACTTTTGCAACTTAAAAATTCAGATGCATGTTATTCGATAGAGCTGCTGTATGTGAAAACCAAATGTTAAAGAGTTTTAATTTCTTCTTGTAAACAAATCAATCCTAGTGCAGTTCTGTGCTACACATTTTTAGCAGAGTAATGCAGACATCTTCTGGTGCAGACTAGCACAGTAAGCTTTCAAGGATATCAAGACCCTGTTGGCTTGATGGTTTTAGACTTTTATAACCAGCTGTGTTTACCTTTCACAGAATGTCTTATTACTTTGACAGCTTTTAGAAGACCAATTAACCAGGCTTACATACGGCACCAAACACTGGTTTCATGGAAAGGTCTGATTCTCTTTACACCTTTCTTTCTGCTTTCAAAGAACATGCTGTGGAAATTAACAGGGTGAAGTTTAACTATGGTAGAAGTAGACTGCCAGTCCTTTTCTGGTGTAACCATTTTTTTAGAAAAAATACAGGCACATAACACTAGCCAAAGGTTATACCTTGATTACATTCCCAAAAGGCAGATATGCTGCAAACATGCAGAGATTTCATGTATTTTGTTTGGCACGTGGAACTAAATCTTGTCCCGAATATCAGTGTTTTTCAATTTGCTGAGCAGACTTGCATCCAATTTTATTCAGGGGGAGGGCATATACATTTTGTAGGGCTGTATCTATCCAATTCTGCCTGTAACAAACACCCAAACATCCTAAAATATCAATAAGACAGACAAGTGTAAAGTAAAACTCTGGAGAACATCAAAGGAAAATGGCCATGCATCTGCTCTTTAATGTTTTCCTACGATATATTAAAATAAAAACAAAGTTTCAGTCTCTTCACAAGTAGTAAATTTATATTCTCTGGATTTTTTCAGCCACAACAACTGGATTCTCTTTTCTGATTTTTGCTGCAGCTTCTGCTTTGTAATCATATGGACAGTTGTGCTTGTCAGAGTAACGGTGAAGTCCACAAAACAAATTTCCGCATCGGCAGTCAAACCCTGTACAAAGAAGAGGAAGGAGAGTCACTCAGGAACTTATGGCAATTAAAAGAAAAAAAAAATCTTTAGTCACTATAGAAAAGGAACCAGATTCTCCTTGCATTTTGCAACATAAAAGATAGACAACTCTTGACAGAGTCTACACTTTAAACTGAAAAAACTTTTAACCTATTTGAGATGGTAAGAAACTAACATACTACATTAATTCTTATCCTCCAAGGACAAAAGAGACTGTGAAGGAAAAAGTGCTTAGTAAATGATTCCATACTGAGAGAAAACAAAATGGGCTATCTACCAGCTAATTCTGCCAAGTGCTCTCTGTATCCATGAACTCCCACAGAAATTACACAGGGTCTAGAAAAGACATTCCTGGGTCCAAATCCTAGTCCTACCATATCTTAACTATGCAATATTTCCTCAAGTGAAAACTAGGGAAAGACAAACATAATGTTCTGAGATTTAAAGGAAACAAGTGAAATGGATCTAGAACATTTTGTACCTAGCTCAAAGTACTGTATATTCTCATAAATAACACACCCTCACGTACAACACAGAAAAATGATGAAATTAAGTAAAACAGTTCTAGCATAGCATGCCCATGCTATACCATGCATGTCTTGTGACATTTCCAGAAATGAATTTCGGCCACATTTACTCGTCCTCCCATATTACAGGTAAATCGTATTGTTCTTTTCATTTTCTTTTGCTCTGTTCACTTTTTCTGCTTATGTGCATAAAAATAGTTCAAAAATGTTGCTTTTGCTTATACTTGTATATTAAAGGTGTAAGCCATGGCTCGAGTTTGATAAGTTCCCCAGTAATCAGAAAATAAACTCTTAAAATGTTGATAACTACAGAGCATTAACTCAACAGCTGAATGCAAAAATCCTATCAGATCGTCTTAAGTGAAAGGTATGCTTATTTCATAGTCTAATTATGTCTTCTTAGTATCAAATGAAGTTAGCAACATGTAATAAAAATTGGCATAGTGCACTTTGGAAAACATTGCACGGGAGGACGGGGTGGGGGGAGGGTTGCACGGTTGGCGTGTTATTTGTGAAAAAATATGGTAGGTACTTAGTTCCAGTACTTTTCCCCAGGAGTACAAAAAAATCAAAACAGATGAATTTTTATCAATCCAATAAAGGAAAATAATTCAGACTGCCTGAAGTTAATAAAGGTTTTCATATGATTAGACAGATGGAAATCAAACCCAACATCTCTCCACCTCACTACCATTCCTCTCCAGGCAACTCTGGAAACTTTCTATTTCTAAAAGTCTGGCATTTTGTCTTAAACGTAAGACCAACCAATCCCTTAAGAGCTCCTTGTTAAATGCTGGCAGTAAAATATACATCATTTTATGTGATCTGTAATACCTGTAAGGCCAACTTTCTTTCTGCACATGAAACATCTGTTCTTCTTTGGTTTGGGCAACTCAGGAGCTTTTTCTTCACTTTGAGAAGTACTGGGCTGAGAAACTGATGGACTGGGCTGAGTGACAACTGAATAACAAGGGTAGAAATTAGAATTTTGTCACGAGTTCACTAGCTGACATGTCAAAAAAAGGAAACATTTAACAGAAAAGGTAATATTTTTAGCAAAAACTTGTAAGAATTCTTAAAAAACATGTACTTTAAATAAGGATCCTCTGTACTTTAATATCAGAACTTCCAAATCTGAGAACATTTTGCTAATCACCATAACAATACTTAGACCTCTGAATTTTATAAATTTTGTACATCTTGTATTCTTTAAACTCACTTTTTACCAGTACTGGAAAACAGAATCCTAATTCTAAGTTTTAAAGACCTGGGAGATGGTGGCCTTGTGCTCAGCTTTTCCACACTGCTATTTTCTAAATGCAAACTTCTTAATTAGGGCAGTTCAAATTCATTAATTCTCAATCAATAAAGGTGAAAACTTCTGAAGCATCTATTAAAAAGTCATTTTGGTTTTAAGCTGATAGGAAAAAAACAATCCTGTAGAAGAAACCAGCAAATTTTGACAAACCCAAAATCTTAATCCCTAATCAGCTTCAGATCCAAAGAATTCCAAAATAATTATTTTACCATTTTCACAAGTGCATTATGTTGCTACATGCAGAAAATCTGGAGGATTTTTTTCTTTCTTTTTAAAGACTAGCAAAGACAGCCTTTAGCACAACATAAGCACTTCTGATACTTCCATTTTAGACTATTAAGGATTCTAGACAGAATGAGATTTTGAAAGCATGGTTTTTATTTTTACTTTGACATACTTATCTCAAATGGGTACCAGATTTGGACAATGAGAGACATGACCTAAAAAAAAAGCCCTATTTCTTCACCTAAAAGAGCTTTAAGTTTTAATTCACACATGACATCAAATTGTCACAATAAAGACAAAATTGCAGATGACTGTATCTAAGGCCACAGACACATTAGTTCTTTATAACAAAAAATCAAAATCTACTTCTACTTACATAAAAGTCAATTATACCATAAACACTATAAACTCTGGGGTTAATATCAACCCACACCCTACGAGTGGCATATGTCTGCAATGCTGAAATTTCTGCCTAAACAATAAGCCAGCTATTAGTGTCTAAGTCCAAGCTGATTGGTTTAATAACTTACTCTAAACTCCCTCCAAATTTATAACTCATTTGGTCAGTTGTTTTAGAAGGATGAACATTCAAAACACCAGATTCATCTGCCAAACTTGAGAATTTGACCTAACTTAAAAAGACTGTTATGCAATATAATAGAATTCATTTACAGCCATAAGCCTGACTACGGTGTTAGCAAAAGCAAGCCTTCAAAGAAGCAGATTACATTTCTAATACTATTTCCTCTTCACAATAATCGTTTACATTGTGTTCAGTCAACCACTCTAATAGGAAATAATGTATTGACTCAATGAACTATGTGCACAGACCTTCCTGCTCTAGGGTCTAACACAGGTAATTCCAACAAGTCAGTGTTCTCACGTTGGAGTACTTCAGTTGTGCTAACTGATCACAGCTTCAAAGTCACTAATGAAAACCAAAATGCCTTGCCATACCGAGTTGTAAACCCCCACAAAATGTGATAAGGGATTTTGCACCTCTTCAATTTGAAAGTTTCCTTTAGCATTCAATGTGTTCTGTTGCTTGAGTAGTTTTCTACAATGCTGACAATCTTTTTTTTCTTTGTGGCTCTTAAAATTTAATCAAGAATTCCTTCTGTTTATGAACATGTTTGAGTGGACTACACCTTCTCTAATGATTTAGATAACTTTAAAAGATGTTAAACTACCTTTCAATTTCATTAAGCTCGTAACACTTCTAGTGTCACGATTACAAATTGCTGATCTGTGGTATTGGGGTAGCGGTGGGGTGGGGGCGTAGGGAAGGTAGAAGAGATAAGAGTATTAATGATTTTATACTTCCAGATAGTTTAAAGGTAGTGCTTCTTGCTTGACTTATACTTTAGAGCTCTCTTTGATACTTTAGAGCTCTCTCTGGCCCTATAATTGGAAGGAAAGAAACCCCCTAAACCAACCCTCTCTCAAAATACCAAATTCAGAACTAGTATTAAACAGAAAGCATACCTGGCTCTGACACCTCTGTTTTCGGGGTTGTTATTTTGTCCTCTCTTGAAATGCTCATTTCTGTCATTTGCTGAGTTACAGGCAAGGCAGCCACAGGCACATTTCTATTTGAGTTCAAGCAAACAATTATTTTTAAAGAAGTTAAGGGTACTTTTGGTATAATGAATAAGTTGTTGGTTTAATTTTTAATTATATTCCTTCCAATAAGATCAAATACACCTAGATAAACTAAAACTTAAAAAGAGTATCAGCGTCCCATCATAAATGATTGAGGATAAAGCAAGCAATTTGATAAGTGGCTCATCAACTCAAGGTTGTACATTTGTACAGATTACAATGTCCTACTACAACCAACTAGGAATTTCAGCTGTGCCTATAATTTGTTTAAGGGCTAAAGGGGCAGCCTTATGTGGCACTATCATATATGACGTCTGCAGTCTTGCTACAATTCCTAAACCTTAATTATAAGGAAGTAAAAGCACAGCATTCTCAACACAGTACTTGAAGGTGTTATGGAGTCTGCTTTAATATATATCTTTACTCGATGACCTATGAGATTACATATTATCCAAAACCAAAACCAAGAAACAAACCCACTGCTGTCGAATTGACTCTGACTCATAGCAAAATCTCTGTGCAATGCACGCAAAGCCAAAAACATCTGATATACTGACATCTGCATAAGGGTACTGATAGCAGACATATTGATTTCTTGTGATCATAAAAACCCCAAAATGTTCATTCACTCTTACCTTGATTTTTCAGATGTGCTGCCAGCAGCACCTTCACAGTTGTTTAAACTAGCATCTGCTCTCTGTACAGATGCAGAATCTGAGGTAGGACTGTTGGAACCACTAGCTGTCCCTATTTAAAAAAAGCATTTATAAGAACCAAATCAACACTACAAAAACTCGCTTAGTATCAAAACTATAAGTAATACTTGCATTTGATTAGGTTAGTAAGTTAAGAACTTTCACTGTACTATACTTATGTGAGCATCCAACAAAAATATATATTAAAAAAGTAATCCAGTGAACACAAGTATGAAACAAAACCTCAAAATGGAAAATTGAAAAAGCAATAAGATGCTTGTAGTCATTCATTCCCGATGTAGTCAGGCCAAGTACTTGAGCTGTTTCTTTAATTTCAAGCTCTTCTGGGAAGTCCTCGCTCCTTGGGCTTTTAGCACTGATTCTCAGTCTCAGGCCCCAATTGTTGGCTCTATATTTTCTGTCCACCAGTTCTTCAAATGTGTTTTTCCTTGGAAACAACTTACCCATTGGGCTCATTCTGCCACTGTTCTGCTGCCTCTGAAGATGTTCTTTGTAGCAAACAGAACACATTCCATTTGTCCTAGGATTCCCATAAAAGCCACACCCTGTACTACACAGCATGGGCCCTGGGGTCTGGTTAGTCTCCTGAGCCATATTTTTCTGCTATAAACAAAACAAAACAAGACAAAACTTTAGAAATTAACATTCCTCCAAAATAAAATCAACTTAGTGTAATACAGTCATCAAACCAAAAAACCAAACTCACTGCCACTGAGTTGATTCTGACTCCTAGTGACAAGGGGAGAACTGCCCGATGGGGTTCCCAAGGATGTAAATCTTTATGGAAGCAGACTGTCACATTTTTCTCCCTCGGACTGGTAGGTCTGAACTGCCCTTCAGTTAGCAGTCATGTGCTTTAACTCCTGAGCAACAGGGATCCTTAATAAAGTCATCGGTCTACCTTTAGTTCTAAAAACCAAGTTTGTTCTAATAAGGCTCAAATTGTGTTAATTGTTAAAGAGTGGGTGAAGGAAATTATGAACATTTGGTTGCCTTTATACAACAACAAAGAAAATTATGTCACAGCTTGATAGTGGACTATAATGGCTTTACATTCTTTAGGACAAAAATATATGTACCATTAAACATTAAAATGAATTATTTCAGCTGTCACTATTATTCTGTTTCAATTTCTGAAAAGGTCACTCGGCCAGGTATCAGAATAGTATTTTAATTAATTTGGCCAATTGGTATCTTTAAGTCACTTTCTGCTCTCCAACAATATAGGCAGACCATTTCAAATCACATTTTTACTTCACTGGCCAAAAACATATTAAATGGAACTTGAAACATATTAAATGGAACTTGAAAATGAAAAAAAAAAAAAAAACTACAATGATTACAATTAACCACTGGCTGCTGATGTCTGTTAGTGGTTCTTACAACTGACTGCATATTGAATCTACCTATAAAGCTTTCTTAAAACACCGTAAATAATATGATTGGATAATTCTGCTAAGGGGCTGGGCATCTGTACTTTTTAAACTTTGAAATGTCTTCACAGATGACTGAAAACAGAGCTGGAAGATCAACTAACCTTCCCTGTTACTGGGCAGCAACAAGTGAAGCTCTTTAAGAATTTAAGGGTCAGCTGCTTATGAAACTCCTTTTTATGTTCTACAACTGAGGTGTGAAAATCTGGTTCTGAGTACTTTAAAGCCAGTGCCTAGAAACCTGCAATGCACAAATTACCAGTCATAGACTTCTTAGCCAAAAGCTCTAGCTATTAAAACTTTTAACAAGCGCTTGTCTTCCTCATACCACAAAGTAATGAAATCTTTCCATGAGCAAATGCAGTATGCCAACGTAAAATATAAATACATAACTTTCAGTAATATTAATATTTAATGCTAGATTACCAGAAAGAACTTCATACTGCAAGTATATCCTTGTTTTTCTAGCTTTTTTGAAACTAGCACAAAATTTTGCTGACTTTAGTTAGTTTTCCTCTTGGTAAAGAAGTCCATGTCGCTAACAAAATACACATTTAAGAAAAATTATTTAAAAAAAAAGGAAAACTGTAGAGGCTTTTCTCATCATCTTAAAACATGAATGTTCAAAATGCATTTGAAAGCATTTTATCAAAGGGAAATTGTGTGTTATAACTTGTGGTCACTGTCATTTAATAAGTACACTTTACTGTCAATAATAAAGGTGACTTATGGTTTCTCAAGTCATTTCATGTAAGTAAAGTACTTCTAAAGCATGAACTTGTCATTTCTGGAATTTCATGTTTTTTTCCAACTACCACATACTATAATAAATATACTCCTTAGTGTGTTACAAACACTCAAGTGTTAACACTTTTTACCAAATTATAAAAAGGGGGTGAGGGGATAAGCAATTTTCACCTGGCCAGAATCCTGACAATTATTCCCCTAACATTTAAAGGTTAGTAACCCTTCCTTGTTAGCAAAAGGACACCATACAAATATTCAAGCCAATAAATCTTGTATGATGTATGACCAAGGTCCACAACTTACTTTGAACAATAGTATTACTTTAGTTGACACTGTCTCTTTAAACAGTAAGTGGAATTTAGCTGACTCATTTTGGAGCAGGGTAGTAAAAATATTTCAATATCACTTGTTTATTAATAAACACATTCAAGCTGGGTTTTTAAAATATGCTAAGTACAACATAAGCACAAAAATGCTTCAAATAATAAATTACGGATTTATTTGCATGCTCACCATGCACAAAGTTTATCAATCTTTTGCCCTATGCAAAAAGCTGGGCATTCCTTGTAGTCAGCTGAAGAATTACGCTAGCACATCCTTTCTACACTAATTTCCAACATCATCTGACATTGGCTTTAAAAGCAAACTGGCATACAAACGTCAACACACATTAAGTAGTTTTAGTTAATCCTATTCTTAAAGTTCTTTGTGTTTTTATATAAATAAAACAGAGGAAGCCCTATCTAGTAATTTCATCTACTTCAACATGCAGAGTATTCCACCTTTCCTTCCCCAGGAAACACATCTCCCTTCAATTCACTATAAATCACTTTGAGTTCTAAGACACTACACACAAGAACCAGGGCATGAGACTCTTCTAACGGCTTCCTATTTTTAGATTTTCCCCCTAGAAAGCTAGCTTTTAAAATGCCATCACATGTGCATAGCTTGCCTTAGTACTTCTCAGAAGCTTAGATCACATGGGCGGGCACCTCAGCCTGTCACAAGGCTGCAATGTGACAGGCTGAGCTGAGTTCGATGGAGGCTCTCACATAAAACCCAGTCAACAGGGGCCTCTGAAATCAGCTTCTATTTATATCTCAGAGCCTGCCAACTCCTACACTACCCCAAGAACTAAAGATGCAGCGTTCATACGTTTAACATAATGAGAAAACACAAATATGATTAAGGCTGTCACAGTTTTGTTTTGTTTTTTAAGTGTCACCAGGGAGAACTAGAGGACAATCTCAAACTCAGTCTAGAAGATGCAAGCATCATTAATCCACTCATGAGGCCACAATAGTCAGGTTGTTTATAAACCAAGAAGGAATAGCAGACAGAGCAACAAAGCAATAAAGAATTCTCATGTTCTGTGCCAAAAATTTTTGGGGGGCCAGCAGGCAGAATAAATAGGTCTTTCCTTAGTTGTATATATACACACACGTATATATCGAAATACAGCATCACTACGATTTAGTTCCTTTAGAGTTAAGAAACTCGATCATTCATGTGTAGTTCTATCAAGTATAGCTAGAATGCGTATTTCTTATACAGTCTGTGGCTTCCTCTAACTCATAGCTTTAAAACAAAACAAAACAAAACCCAACAACAACAAAGACTACAACCCTGGCATGTAAACTGGAAACAACTCTCCAAACCCAAATCTGAATAAAGGGCTTTTTATGCTCATGCAATTTGTTTGATTCAAGGTGCATATGACGTGAAGGGATGACTCACCCGCGTGTTAGGAGACCCGAGTTCTGTTCTCTAACTTACCACTAACTAACCAGTTACCTTGTACAAGTCCTTTTTTTCCAGATCTCAGTTCCCTTTTTGCCCAATGAAGTAGATCAGAATGATTGGTAAAGGCCTGATTGATATCGGGCCTGAGAGCAAGTAGGGGAGAAGAAACTACAACAAATTTTTTTAATTGTACATTTAAAGAAAAAAATTTAAAGATAAAAGTGCAATATCCTATCAATTGAGTTCTGAAATCCTATATTTTAAAGTCTTAAAATGAAATTAAAATTTAGATTTTCAAACTCTGTAAATCACCCGAATGCCAGATTTAACGGGCTCTGTGACCTCACGACTTTACCCTAATCTCTTTGGATCAGATTCTTAGAAGGCACTCAATCAATAAACATAACTTGGCCTTTCCCAAAAACACAGCTTTACAGAGTGCATAGAAAGCGACCAAAGAATTTCACGCTTACCAGCCTAAATGCCTGAAACAAAAGGGAAGGTGCTCCTTTTCCTTCACAAAAGAGATCTTGGGGGAGAAACTCAGCGACGTTGGGAAAACCAAAACACGACGGCAGAAAAACCCCTTCCCACGTTCCAGCAGATTTTAAAACAAGTTCGGATCCCACTGGGTCCCCATCCCCCTCCAAGCAAAGGCTTCGCACAGGAAAGCCCAGCAGGGCCTTCTCCCAAAATCACTGAGTCATGCAGAACAGCAGCTCCGCCGGCCCAGCCAGCCCCTCACCCCACCCGCCCCGCGCCGACCCCCGACGCCGAGCGGCTCTTCTAAGAAGGGGGAGGGCCGGGGGGCGCGGCGGGCTGGGGGCCGGGGGCGCGGCTGCCGCCTCGGCCTCTTTGTTTCTCCCCGTTGGCTGCCCACGCCGGGCGCCGCTGCCAAGGGCGGCCGAGAGCGACGCGAGCGAGGCCCGGAGCCCAGCCCGCAGAGGCTGCACGCCGGGCATTGTTCCCCCGACCCTGTGTGTGCAAGCGAGCAGGGGGCGCCGGGAGCCGGGCCTCGGCGACGAGAAGATGCCTCCGCCTTTGTGCTTCCTGAGCTGGCGGGCGGGCTCCCCTCCCCCGGACGCCGCCATCCGGGGCCCGCTCGGGCTGCGCCGGAGATCCGCGGCGCCCCTGTAACCCCCAACCCCCAACCCGGCACGAGGACCCAGACGCCCTTCCCTAACCCCGCCGCCACTCACCCTGCGGGGTCCGGTGCGTAAAAGTCGGGCTCGCGCGGTGCCGGCGCGGGGGGGAGGGGGTGCCGGGCCGAGGCCTCCGGGACGGGAGAGCCGGGCGCTCTGGTGCGGTCGCCCCGGGCTGGGAGTGGGTCAGAACCGCAGACGGAGGTGGCGCCGCCGCCGCGAGGTCCTCCTTTGTTCCTGCAGCAGCGCCAAGCGTGGCCGGGACACGCCGGAGCTCGGGAAGTGGGAGGAGGGAAGCGGGTGGGGGGGCAGAAGAAGAGGCGGAGGACCGGAGGCCGCCGCGGCTAACGCTGCTCGCGGCGATCGCCCGTTGTCGCCTCACAGCTTGACGGGCGGCGGGCTGGAAGGACTCCGAGGGCGAGCAGACGCGGCGCCGGGAGTTCTGGGTGCTGCGAAGGCCCGCTGAAGGCGCTCTCCGTCACTTTTTCCACGACCGGAGAAGCTGCGCGGCTTCCGGGAGCGAGCGAGCGCCGACCGAAGACTGCAGGCAGCTCCGCGCTCCAGCCGACTGACGCTCTCTCTCCACCGGGCTCCCAGGCTGTGAGGTGGGGAGGGAGGGAAGAGGCGGGGCCTGTGCGTCAGCGAAAACCCCGACAGCGGCCCGGGGTGGGTGGGCGGTGACGTCGCTAGCCTGAGGCCCCACCCCCGTCCCTAATTACTGCGTCCGGGAGGCGGGGCCGAGCTTGGGTGAGCTGCTGTCGCGCGGAGCCGAGTCACTGGCCCACCCGCCGGCCTTAGGGTGGAGCTGGGAAGAGGTAGTCCTGTGGAGGCTGCATGTCTATTTTTAACCCGATTGTCCGCCCTCAGCCTCCCTCCTTCCGAATTTCTCGCTCGAGCTAGCTTTTTGCCTTCTGAGTTCTCACGCTTTGTCTCGAGCTTTTGTCAGACAACTCTCCCCCCTTTTTCTTCTTCATTTTCCCCAAGAATTAGAGGATTCACTTCGAAGGGAGAAAAAAAAACTGCTTTATGCCATCTGGAGCTTCTCTACTGTTCAGGAAACCTTCCCCGCTTTCAGGTCTAACGTCCAGCCTGAGCGTCACGTTGACGCCGCCAGGAAAGAGCGGGCAGGCGGCGCACGCCCAAGGTCACGGGTGGTTGTGCAGAGTCAGGAAACGCTCGCCCGACTGGCTGCCAGTTCTCAGCCCTGGCGTCGCTGTTCTGAACGAACTGTTTTGACCAGCCTGTAAAATCCCTGGAAATGGACTATTCCAGCAAAGCTTCGTGAACTGGGAAAGCACCAAATGTTCTACTCAAGAAACGGAGTTAAGGGACAAACAATCTAGACCTGAGGCGGAGATCAGAGGGGAGGTGAAACCTAATAGGAGGAGACATGCAGGATTAAGTTCAAGAGGGGGGAGGTTTCAGGCGGGCAGTGCGACTGGCATGAAAGGATGAGTGAGCTCAAAACACTGAGATTCTTTTCAAAGCACAACAAAAAATCCCGTTTCCAACTAGCCTCTTTACGTAACTTTAATACATCTCAAAAGAGCAAAGTTACTAAGACAGGACATTAGGCCATAAACATTGACCATAAACATGGCCTGATGAGTAAACAGAAATGATGTTTAGGGCTTATATATTAACCACCATCAGAATGGTTCTTTCTGTGTTTCCTAAACTTGGCTAATCAGAAATATGACCTGTAGTGATTATTTAAAAATTCCCAGGCCTCTCCCTGGGAATGGTTTTGGTTGGTTTGGGGTGGGACTCAGGAATCTGCATTTTTAAGTAGTGCTCCAGGTGATTCTTAACTATAATCGTATTTGGGAAACACTGTCCTGGTTCCAAATCAACACAAACAAATCTCTGCCACAGTAAACAAAGTGCGTGGACCTTAATTGAACATTTTCATTACGTTTCCAGGGTTATTGCTGTGGTGTAAGTAGTTTGAACACTGGTCCCAGGACCATTGGCATTTACTTCACCATTAGTAAAAAGATTGTTGTGTGATTCCGACTCATAGTGACCCTATATGACAGAGTAGAACTGCCACATAAGATTTCTTTAAGGAAGGAGCAGATAGCCAGGTCTTTTCTGCCTTGGAGCCTTGGTAGGTTGAGACCTCTGACCTTTTGTTTAGCAGCTGAGCTCTTAACCATTGCACGGCCAGGGCTCCTTAGTAAAAACATAACAAAAACCTGTTGCCGGCCTAGTCAATTCCATCTCATAGCGATCCTGTAGGACGGAGTAGAACTGCCCCCTAGGGTTTCCAAAGAGCAGCTGGTGGATTCACACTGCTGACATTTTTGTTTAGCAGAGGAGCTCTTAACCACTAGCCGCCAGAGCGCCAGTACAAACATAGCAGCTTCAATTCATGGACCATTTTCAGTGCTGATTATTTTCCATTTAGGGTCTCATTTAATTCTCACAGCAGTTCACTGAGATGGTACTACTATCATGGCCATTTTTACAGATGAGGGAATAAATACTAAAGAAGATAAGTGACCTGGCCAGGCTGCTGAAGGACACGAGAGGTAATGGAGGTGACTTTTACTGCGGACAAACATAACTAGAGGTTTTTTTTTGCCAGAATTTAAATTGTTAAAAAGTGAAACAAGGTAATTCTTAAAGAAGCATGACTGAAAAAAATTTAAAGTAATAGGGCAATCTCATTATTTATCTATTCCATAATATATGGGTTATAGCACCTTCATCTTCTCCACCCAACATTTACACTTTTCTTTATGAGACTGTTTCAGCCATGAATGTGGCTGGTGCGTGAACCTAGCCAAAGCAGGATTCCCTTCCAGCAACTATTGCTTACTTTAGTGGTTCTCAAAGTGTGGTCCCCAGACCAGTATCATCATCATCATCATCATCATCATCCTCATCATCTGGGAACTTGTTAGAAATACAAATTCTCAGGCCCTACCCCAGACCTGTAGAATCAGAAACCCTGGGAGGAGGGTGCAGCAATCTGTGTTTTAACAAGGCCTGCAGGTGATTTTGAGACATACTCAAGTTTAAGATCCATTAACTTAGCCTACCACAGCATCAGGTGACCCCTCTCTCTTTCTGCTGGCTGACACCATCTGAAGGGAAAAAGGTTAAAAAAAGAAAAGAAATTCCCTCGTGTTAACTAGTGTAACAGATTAGGGGATACACTTCTAAGGACTTTCTTTTCTTTTTTTTTTCTCATGTTCTAAATTTTTAGTTGTATTCTAAACACAAACTTAACTAAAAAACACAAAATATATAATTAAAAAAAAAAACAAAACCTGTTGCCATCGAGTGGATTCCAACTCATAGCAACTCTATAGGACAGAGTAGAACTGCCTCATAGAGTTTCCAAGGAGTGCCTGGTGGATTCGAACTGCTGACCTTTTGGTTAGCAGCCGTAGTACTTAACCACTACACCACCAGGGTTTCCAAAAACATGTAATAGAGTGCTCTAAATATAACATGCAAAGGGCCTATGGTCATCAGTGAAGGTCAGTCTTCACTGATCGTGAAACCAGCCTCTATAAAAAAAGATAAATGTAAAGTAGGGCGTGATCCACACAGTCCAGTGCTTTCGCATAGTCAATAAAACACAGTAAACATCTTTCTGGTATTCTCTGCTTTCAGCCAGGATCCATCTGATGTTAGCAATAATATCTCTCATTCCACGTCCTTTTCTGAATCTGGTTTGAATTTCTGTCAGTTCCCGGTCGATGTACTGCTGCAACTGCTTTTGAATGATCTTCAGCAAAATTTTACTTGTGTGTAGTATTAATGATATTGTTTGATAATTTCCACATTCTGTTGGATCACCTTTCTTTGGAATAGGCATAAATATGGATCTCTTCTAGTTGGTTGACCAGGTAGCTGTCATCCAAATATCTTGACGGCATCTGTTTATTGAAACATCTCAGTTGGTATTCCATCAATTTCTAGAGCCTTGTTTTTCACCAATGTCTTCGGTGCAGCTTGGACTTCTTTTAGTACTGTCAGTTCTTGACCATATGCTACCTCCTGAAGTTGTTGAACGTCGACCAATTCTTTTTGGTACAGCGACTCTGTGTATTCCTTCCATCTTCTTTTGATGCTTCCTGCATTGTTCAATATTTTGCCTATAGAATCCTTCAGTATTGCAACTCGAGGCTTGAATTTTTTCTTCTGTTCTTTCAACTTGAGAAATGGTGAGTTTGTTCTTCCCTTTGGTTTTTCTAACCCCAGGTCTTTGCACATGTCATGACGATACTTTGTCTTCTCGAGCCACCCTTTGAAATCTTCTGTTCAGTTCTTTTACTTCATCATTTTTTCTGTTCACTTTAGCTACTCAACGTTCAAGAGCAAGTTTCTCTTCTGACATCCCTTTTGGTCTTTTCTTTCTTTCTTGTCTTTTCAATGACGTCTTGTTTTCTTCGTGTATGATGTCCTTGATGTCATTCCACAACTTGTCTGGTCTTTGGTCATTAGTGTTCAAAGCGTGAAATCTATTTTTGAGATGGTCTCTAAATTCAGGTGGGATATACTCAAGGTCATACTTTGGCTCTCGTGGACTTGTTCTAATTTTCTTCAGTTTCAATTCGAACTTGC